CAATGGTTCAAATATGTATAAAGCATTTGGATTTCGGTTGAACATTTCACCAAAAAATGACGATCCTGACCGATAATAGGCAAAAATTAGTACTCCAGTGGTTGGAGATGCGGTGAGCTTACTGACAGCGGACAAAGTGGTTGCCTCTCTAGCAAGTGCCACTGGAGTTTCGCCAGGCAAAGACGGTTTTATGCTGGTCATTTTAGGAAAAAATTCCAAAGAATCAGATACTTTTATCTCGACAGGGGGCGACTCAGTCACAGATGCTGGACCACGTGTGACTTCCACTGTTGCAGTTGGCGTCGATACATGGTGATACATGTTGGTCCATCTTAGAATCGTTGGCACATTGGTAAAAGAGATGACGCCCACTGAAAACATTAATATGATGTCATATATATTTTGGACAGTCCTTGATTCTGTTATTGTACTAAGATGTGCGGGAAACTAGGTTGTCCTATGTAAATCTGTGTAGAGAGAGAGAGAGAGAGAGAGAGAGAGAGAGTTTCCAAGCTGAGTCCAGAATTAAATTTAATAAAACATGAAATCAGTCTATAATATAAAACACATTACCTCTCCAGTACATTGCTACATAGACCAGCAACAATCCTGAACACACTCCAGTCAACCAAGTCACGCACGTCATCAATTTTGCCATCATGACAAAGATATGGCCAGAAACTTTAAATTTGGTTTTTGCTCTCTTACACACGAACCCGTTGCCTTGTCGAACTTCTTTGAAAATGGACGGAATTTTCCCCTTGACTTAAGATTTCTATCTTAACATCACGAATGTTATATATGTATTATTGACAACAGTTGCCAGTAGAAATCTGAATAATTTAGCTGATACCACTGGGTTGGAAGTATCAAGCAATCACAAGACAACCTCACAGTGATTTTATATAGAATAGAATTAGAGAATATTATTCTATAATATAAAATTTTCACAAATTAACCACTGTCTAATATTCTATCCACTTATCTGTACTGCACAGCACGAGCCATCAGCATGCAGAATTGACGCTTGGTTTAAAAAGCGAACGCCTCTACTCATTGCTCGACCCGGCATTGCATAAGGATTTTATACCAATTCTAACGAAGTATAAAATGGCAGGCCTTCCGGACATTTAATTTCTGGCCCCAGTTTCACAAAAAAACTTAAGTCGGTTCCCTGGCGTAATTGACTAGGATTTCCATGAGAGTGCTGTTACACTGCTTCTGAGAGGGTAAGATTCGCCCATGTGACCATGTTACCTTGGTTATTAAATTCTTAGCCCGGGAACCTGACAACCTGACTTGAGTTTTTTGTGAAACCGGGGCCTGGGAGGAATATCGACACCAGGTAGGTTTATTTAAGGAGCTTTCTCATTTTATCACTTTTAGTGTCTTAATTGGGACATATGAGTAGCTTTATTAGATAGTAAGACGTCAATTTAATATGTGTGGTTTACCTATGCCTGGATGCAGGTATTGTAAGCCTTTGATGTTTTAATAAATTTTTTATTATTCAGCTTCATCTTATTTAACTTAAAGGTATATACGTAGTAATATGGTATGTTGATGAATACCACCTTGTGTTCTCCTGCAAACGGCAGAATCGGTGTCTGCCTTAATTATTTGCCCCTTTCACGGCAACAGACGAAGTGATGCAATTGTGTATATTTTATGGGACCAAGTCAAACGTCTTCTAGGGAAAGCTACCTTGCACATACATGCTTTCAACACCTGTGGATCCCCTTCCAGGGGCGGATTGAGGCCGTCTTCTGGGTCTTCCGGAAGACGGTCAGATTTTCAAATTTACATTGACGGGTATCTAATTTTTTCTGTCGGAAGACGGTCAAAAATGGGGGATGGATAAACAAAGATAATTTGGAAGACTGTCAGAAAACATCCCTGGATCTGCCCCTGCCTTCTGTCATCAAACAGTAAAATGACCACCTCAATGTAACACACACACACACACACACACACACACACACACACTCATCTTATCACATCTATATCCTATCACACTTATCACAATTTTGAAAAAACAAACAAACAAAATGACACGAATAGATAAAGAAAGAAAGAGCCAGAAGGAAAGAAACAAAGAAAGAAAGGAGGACACTTTTCACGCACAATCGAACTAGGACAAAACCAGATGACTCGTGGATATCCCAGGATATAATGTTCAAAGATTGCTCCTTGTATGTGTGATAGACGAATACACTTGCATATAGAAGATCATCACAGAGTGAAATGTTGGAACGAAATAAAATTCAATAGTACGCATCTATTCTGAGTTCTTTGAATTCGAATCAAAACAATTGTTACAACAGTTAATGATGTCAGCCTGATATATACCAGGAAGTATAATTTAAAATTGTATTGAAATTAATCCCATACTTGACGTGAAACACTGTAAAATATGAGTAGGAAAAATGTAAAATTAGTTAGG